AATTTTTTGAGAAGGACCTGTATGTGAGCATCCAATTCCAAGTCAGTTACAACACTGTTACAACCCTCACCGCACGTCACTGGTGTAAAAGTGTGCAGTCCTATGAACAGCGAAGATACAGTACTGCGCAGAACCCTCAAACTCACAGGCCTCTACTAGAGGACCCTAGTATGAAGTGAAGTGGAACTGCCCAAGTGGATGAGTGAGCTCCAAGTACACTGCCTTGCGAAAGTATTCGGCCCCCTTGAACTTTTCAACCTTTTGCCACATTTCAGGCTTCAAACATAAAGATATAAAATTTTAATTTTTTGTGAAGAATCAACAACAAGTGGGACACAATCGTGAAGTGAAATGAAATTTAATGGATGTGTCAAACTTTTTTAACAAATAAAAAACTGAAAAGTGGGACGTGCAATATTATTGGGCCCCTTTACTTTCAGTGCAGCAAACTCACTCCAGAAGTTCAGTGAGGATCTATGAATGATCCAATGTTGTCCCAAATGACTGATGATGATAAATAGAATCCACCTGTGTGTAATCAAGTCTCCGTATAAATGCACCTGCTCTGTGATAGTCTCAGGGTTCTGTTCAAAGCGCAGAGAGCATCATGAAGACCAAGGAACACACAAGGCAGGTCCGAGATACTGTTGTGGAGAAGTTTAAAGCCATATTTGGATACAAAAAGATTTCCCAAGCTTTAAACATCCCAAGGAGCACTGTGCAAGCAATCATATTGAAATGGAAGGAGTATCAGACCACTGCAAATCTACCAAGATCCGGCCGTCCCTCTAAACTTTCATCTCGAACAAGGAGAAGACTGATCAGAGATGCAGCCAAGAGTCCCATGATCACTCTGGATGAACTGCAGAGATCTACAGCTGAGGTGGGAGAGTCTGTCCATAGGACAACAATCAGTCGTACACTGCACAAATCTGGTCTTTATGGAAGAGTGGCAAGAAGAAAGACATTTCTCAAAGATATCCATAAAAGTGTTGTTTAAAGTTTGCCACAAGCACCTGGGAGACACACCAAACATGTGGAAGAAGGTGCTCTGGTCAGATGAAACCAAATTCCAACTGTTTGGCCACGATGCAAAACGATATGTTTGGCATAAAAGCAACACAGCTCATCACCCTGAACACACCATCCACACTGTCAAACATGGTGGTGGCAGCTTCATGGTTTGGGCCTGCTTTTTGTCAGCAGGGACAGGGAAGATGGTCAGAATTGATGGGAAGATGGATGGGGCCAAATACAGGACCATTCTGGAAGAAAACCTGTTTGAGTCTGCAAGAGACCTGAGACTGGGACAGAGATTTATCTTCCAACAAGACAATGATCCAAAACATAAAGACACATCTACAATGGAATGGTTCACAAATAAACGTATCCAGGTGTTGGAATGGCCAAATCAAAGTCCAGACCTGAATCCAATCGAGAATCTGTGGAAAGAGCTGAAGACTGCTGTTCACAAACGCTCTCCATCCAACCTCACTGAGCTCGAGCTGTTTTGCAAGAAAGAATGGGCAAGAATTTCAGTGTCTCCATGTTCAAAACTGATAGAGACAAACCCCAAGAGACTTGCAGCTGGAACTGCAGCAAAAGGTGGCGCTACAAAGTATTAACGCAAGGGGGACGAATAATATTGCACGTCCCACTTTTCAGTTTTTTATTTGTTAAAAAAGTTTGACACATCCAATCAATTTAATTCCACTTACAATTGTGTCCCACTTGTTGATTCTTCACAAAACATTAAAATTTTATATCTTTATGTTTGGGGCAGCACGGTGGCGCAACTGGTAGAGCTGCTGCCTCTCAGCGAGCAGGTCCCTGGTTCAAACCCCGGTCCAGGGGCCTTTCTGGGTGGAGTTTGCATGTTCTCTCCGTGCATGCGTGGGTTTTCTCCGGGTACTCCGGTTTCCTCCCACAGACCAAAAACATGCATGTTAGCCTGATTGTTAACTCTAAATTGTCCCTAGGTGTGAGTGAGAGAGTGAATGGTTGTTTGTCTCGTTTGTCTCTATGTGGCCCTGTGATGGACTTGCGACTCGTCCAGGGTGTACCCCGCCCCTCGCACAGTGATTGCTGGACATGGGCACCAGTGACCCCCGTGACCCAAAATGGAACAAACGGGTAAAGATAATGGATGGATGGATCTTTATGTTTGAAGCCTGAAATGTGGCAAAAGGTTGAAAAGTTCAAGGGGGCTGAATACTTTCAGAAGGCACTATATATATATATATATATATATATATATATATATATATATATATATATAGATAGATAGATAGATAGATAGATAGATAGATAGAGAGCATTAGCGCCAGACCTAATAAACTAAACAAAGTTGATCACGTTTGATAATTTTGAGTTGAGGGTATCTGGATGGTGTTCACATAGGTTTGCCTTTTTTTTTTGTTGCATGATAAAGCATTAAACTGCAATTGTGGATGGCACAGTGAAATGTGTTTATTTGAACTGTGGAAGCGTTCTTGAGTCCATGCAGTGATGTCCAAAACAGAGTAAGACCTGTTTATAATGCAGAGCTGCCTGAGAACTTGATGATCACGGACATCCAAAATGGATTTTCAGTTTTGTTCTTTGTGCACAGAATTGTCTTCGGACATTTTAAATATTCTGGTGATACTATAAACTGTAGCTGATGAAATACTCAAAAGTATTCCCAACTTTCCATTTGAGGAACATTATTCTGAAATAGTTCCCTTATTTTTAGAAGCATTTCTTTTCCAACAGGTGAACCACTTCCTGTTTATACATCCCATAGATTATGCATCTCTAAAAATGCTCTTTTTACAGTCTTCTTACTGACCTATTGCTAATTAACCTAATTTGTTACAAATTATTTATTTGTACCACAGCTTTTTGTTGCTTTTGTTCCAACATTTTATAAATGTGCTGCCATAAATATCAAACTGAACCCTTTTCCTTCCTAAAATGATGCAGTTTATTAGTTTAATTATTTCATATATTTACTATTTTCCACTGTGTACAAAATATGGGCTTATCAAATATTTGCAAACCATTGCACTGCTTTTATTTATATTTTAGAGAGTCCCAACTTTTTGGAATTGGGTTGCACATCATCCCAAATTATTTCAAAGACTGCTTTATAAAAAGAAACTATATTAAATAAAATGACCTTAAAAAGTTATTTTGTAATATAGTAATTTTTCAAACCATTATTTTTTCTTGTGTAGGACATGAATCCTAGTTTGTAAGTCATGTTCTTTCCACCTTCATAAACCCAATTGGATTGAAGTATTTCCAACATCAAAACTATCCGCCCGAACCCAAGTTGCTGTTAAGTTCTCATTTAAAAAAATATATCAGCTCTCCATACAAGGAACAAAGTAAGCAAACAAAAACTGCAAAACAAAGAGAAGAACACAGAGGGTTTAAAGACGTTGAGAGAAAAGGCTGAGAGAATAAGCAGGTGTGGTGGGAAAGGCCCATGGGCTTCAGGGAGAGAATAGATCAATAACTAATTTCAGTACAGAGCTTCACTCGCACTGTTTTCCAATAAACGCTGGATGGAGAGTAGTGGCTTAGCCCTCCCCCCACTATCTTCATTCTATCACCGTCTACAAGCAGGGACTGGAGTCCATGGAAGAAGCTTGTTTATGTCAGTGTTGTGCACTTTTGCTTGGTTTGATTATATTCCTACAGCTAGTGAATGGCATAGATCTACCCTAACGTTGCTTTTTCCCCATCTTGTCCTCCACGAGCGCTCGCTCTCAACCATTCCACATATCCCATCTCTGTATTTTTAATGCCCATTTTCTCCCTCTCTCTTTATTCTGGCTCTTGCAGCCTCCCACCCTCTCTCGTTCTACCAGAGCCGGTGTAGAGGTTTTGTCAAGAGTATGCAGGCAGATTCAGACGGACAGGAGAGTGAAGCGTGTGTCATGCAGCCCTGCTGCTGCTGCTGCTGAGGCTCCTCTCCTCAGAGGCTGTGACCTAGATAACCAAGAGGAGCTGGAGCGCCTGCAAGCCTTGGAGCCACTCCAGCTTCAGCAATGTCAGGAAGGGGTTAGTTGTGTAACACAATGTCCTATTTAGTTTGTTCGACACACACATGAACATAAACACATGTGTGCTTCGATACCATAATACATTTTAAGCAATTTTATTTGGTTTCCACGTCAGTAATGAACAGAGGCAGGTTTGCACATGAGGGACTGAAAGAGGCAAAAGATAGTCCCTAAATTCATTAGATTTTAAACATAAAGATTAAGAATGCTTGGGAAACCTTTCTACTTCAGCAGCCACATCATGTCAAAGCAACTAAAGGCACACGGAGCGTGCTGTGCTCCAGCATCTAAAGCCTGCCTCTTTACTGAGCAGTGACTCTGAGGTTCAGTGTAAGAGCACAACCATGAGGCACATATGCACCATTACTTCTTCTGTTAGCCTTTGAGTGTGTGAGCGCTCCACTCTCATGAACTGGACAAACATCATTTAGTTTCAAAATCCTATAGACCAGATATAAATGTAAAATAGGCTAACAGAGCAGTTTTGGTGAAACACTTTTTTTTTTTAATTATTCCATCCTCAAGTTGTTGAAAAAGACAAAACAATTACACAATACACCACTTCGACGTTGAAGAGATAAAATATAGATAGCCACCAAGCTGGATCAACTTTAATGAGCACACTGCACTCTACCCACAGTCCCCTGGATGCTCAGGTTCAACACTGCCATCTGGTGGTTCTTACTTTGTACTGCACCTTTTACGTACTCATCTTAAATTGTACATCAATGTAAACATACCAGAGGATTACAAGGACTGACTGTACAAAAACAACTTTGTACCTTGAAATAAAAATTTACAAACAGGTCAATCTGTCTGTAAATTTGGCACAGACAATAAAAACAGAGCCAAGGCCTCAACGGGTATGTTAAGATTTTTGCCTTATTTATAAAGAAAAGCCTCAGTGTTTTCACACAAATTACTACGGGGATGCTCACACTTTCATTTCAGATTTTAGACAAAAGAAAAACTAGGCAGTGGGGGAATATTACTGCTGGCTCTGCTGCGGCTTGAAGCAGTCCCAGCCAGGCCTCGGGGTGTATGTGGTCTCGGGAAGAAGAAAGTCTTTCAGCCTGTCGGGTAAAGGTAATGATTTGACTTTGTTTTCCAGAGGCCAGGGCTGTAGGTGACTTCTTATAAAAGCCCTACAAAGACAACGTAGAGGTGGCGGGCTTGCTTCACGTGCCACTACACGACTGTGCAGGTCCACAAGAGCCTGAGCATAAGTGCGAGAGTCGTGGGCAGGTGCAGGAAGCTCCAGCCGAGGAGAGAGCTGCAATGTGGGGAAATTTACCCTCGCTAAGTCCAGCAACAGCTCAGCTTGCTCCTGGAGCTCAGAGGCACGAGCCTGATCCGAGCACTGCTGCAGGGCTGTTTGGAGCCTCTGGAAGAGGAGGCTGTAACCTGACCAACAGGAGTAACTGTGATGGGAGCAAACCAAAGAGGCCCCGCTCTGGATTAGGAGCACAGCCAGAGGGAAGAGCAGGTCGAAGTGCTCCAAGCTCGTCTGAGTCAGAGAGGGCTCCCCATCCTCATTCAGACAGCAGCTGGGGTCCACACCGTGAGCCAGCAGAAGGTGGGTGGTTTTCAAGCAGAAGTTCCCAATCTCAGCGGCATCCTCCACACTGGCCTCCAGAGCCTCCTTTACCAGAAACACCAACGACGACTCGACCGTTTCACCGTCTACTGTTGAAGCTTTCACATCAGCACCTTTAGGAAAGAAAGGATCACCAGTTAACACGTTTGATCCGTTTTAACAAAGTAACATCATACAGCATGCCTGTGTGGGTCAAGCATATTAACTATTTACGTGAATTTAGAACAAACAGTCATTATACATAAGAGCGCTGATTGATTTTTAGGCAGGGTGTTCTGTTTTCTCAACCTTAACAAAGCTAATGAAAAGCCACATTACACAACGAGCAGCTTCTGATTCCTACAACAAACTACAGCTGGCAACCCTTTCCATATCAAAGTAATTTTTTTACCAACTAATTAATTATTAGCAACACTGCACATTGCTATGAAAAAATAATCTGCTTCCCAAAATGACAAGATTAATGTTACCAAGCACGACAACATAAACTATTAATTCACTGTATTTTATTTTTTACAGTAACTACTAGAGATGGAATATTTAACACTAAGTAAATGGTAAATGGACTGTACTTATATAGCACCTTTCTATCTTAATTCAAGATACTCAAAGAGCTTTTCACTACAATCTGTGCCTCATTTACCCATTCACACAGCACTCTACTAGATCTCTACAAAGCTAATTGAACAAATCATTCTAAAGAGACTAATCAGAGCTTTATCACATTCATACACTGATGGGACACACATCGGAGGCTATGAGGGGTTCAGTGTCTTGCCCAGGGACACTTCGACATATGACTGCTCGTGGATTCGAACCCGCAACTCTCGCATTGGAAGACGACTGCTCTAACCACTCAGTCACAGTTGCCCGCTAAGGCCTCAAAGCCAGTTCCACTCTATTAAAGCTGACTTGTCTGAAACACTATGATCAGGCTTGTATCAAATATATGTGATCACATGACCAATGTAGTTTGAGAATTCATATTTCCCAATGAAACACCAAAAGTGAGATGACTGTTGTAAGGGACTTTGTGGCTGTTAAAACCACAGCTGACCACTAGCTGTGACTGGTCGGGTCGGTCTTTGAGGCCTTGAAGCTTCAAATCTTCTTTTTTTTTGGTACAATCTGGAAGAAGCTTTAAAAGCTTGATAAGACTTCATATGCCCATCTCTAGTAACTGTTTGGATTGATTGACACAACGGAAGTAACTGAGGAAAGTTTGAAGATATGTTAATAAATGAAGACATATTTAGCTTTTATAGATTTGTGTAAAATGAGCACATGGTATCAGTGGTGGGCACAGCTAACCAAAAAGATTGCTCCACTAACATTAAACAAATATATATAGTTTTTTTTTTTTGCTGAAGCGCTAACTTTTATCATACGCAGCTGTCGATCTAAGACTGTCTGTAATGTGACAACAAAACGACTTAAAACAGTTCATAAATCACAATTGTGGTTTATGAACTGTTTCATTTGTGATTCTCAAGTAAAGTGTCCATGTCTGGTTCAGAGGTGAGCTTTCAGAAATTAATCTGGTCCTTCAGAACCAAAGAGGTGGCGCAGAACTCTGCTGTGCTGAAACAAGAGTGATGCGTTCAATGTGCGTTGGACGTCTCTCTAATCCTCTTTGTAGTTAACTACCTCTATAAACTACAAAGTTGCTGAGCGTCATCATCAATATTCTCTCAGTAATAAATCTGTTTGTATTAAAGTAAAGATGTGTGGAAAAAATGTGAGAGAGTCACATCCCAGAGACAGTGTGAGTGTTGCAAAGCACACTGGGTAGGAATTATGTGTGCAATGTTTCTGAGTGTGAAAAGTGTTTTTTCATGTTATTTTCCTGTTCTGGTTTGGTATTTATGCTAAAGTCTCTGCTATTGGCTGTAAAGTGACAGCATGAGTCAGAGACTGCTTGCAGTAGATATGAGAGGAAAAGCACTGCTGAGAGGGTGGTGACATCACCGGGTGGTGCTTATATTTACTTAGCTCAGCATCGCTCTGTGTCCATTCTCCTGTACGCCTGGCGTGGAGAACTGTCCTTAAAAAAAATGAGCGGACTTGAATTTATTGGATTTAAATTTAGCGGAAGCTATTTCCGCTGAAGGTTTCCAAAGTTTGCGAAGACGCTAATCCGCTAAAGGAAGTTAGTTTTGCTTATAGCAGATTAGCAGAACCGTGCCCACCACTGATGGTAATGAAATATGTGGCTATGATAAGTTTGAGTTTTTGACCCAGTGGAAATTGAATGAACACTGCTGAGTAGCCATCAGCTTAACTCCTGCATGAGACCTTTGTCCCAGTTCTCTAAACTGAGATCACGCCAACTGCTGTCTACTGAAAATAAGATATTGACTTCACATAAACCCATTTAATTCCAGTTTAATTTGTCTTCCTGTGTCAATAATAAGTGTGATAACAATGTGTGTCCTTTTAAAATTACTATAAGTACCTCTTTCAAGTAGAAGCCGGATGTTCTCCGTGTTGTGGACTGTCAGTCCATCACTGCTTGCTAATGCGTGGAGCAAAGGTGTCTTCCCTTCAGAGACAAGATCAAAGCATGAATCTTTCTTAAGAAATAAACAGACTAATACTTTTCTGTTACACCAGTTTATGTAAACTTACCATGTTTGTCTCTGGCATTCACGTCAGCACCCAGGTCCAGCAGGGTGAGCAGACAGGGCAGTCTTTCTGACTCCTCACCGGCAAGGTCCAAAGGACTGCTCTCATGAATCTACAACACAGAGTATTTGTATTTAAGCCTCACTATAAACTACGGTGACCCTGAAGTTTGAACCACAACTACAAATTAAAAATCACAACAACATTTGAAGAAACACAATTATATTAAGCAAAATCAGAAGAGTGGGAAGCATGAGACATCGCTGATTGGACGACGGGACGTTTGAACCTCCCACCTCTTCCAGTTTCGCTTAATGTAATTGCGTTTTTTTTTTTTTTCTCCCCAAACGTTGTGTTTTTTAATTTGTAGTTGTGGTTTAAACTTCAGGGAAAGAGCTGGACACAAGAGGACACTGATACTCACCCTGTCCCGTTTTTCGATGTCAGCTCCGTGCCCAACAAGCAGCCTCACCATATGTGGCCTGTTCCTTAACACAGCTATATGTAGTGGGTTGTAGTACGACACCGGGTCTTCAGAATGAGAGAGAGAAAAAACAAACATCTTAAATAAGAATTTATCACAAGTAGATAATGGGACAGATTTATATAAAGCTATGTCAACAAAATGAACAGCTGGTCCCAAAGTGTTGCATTAAATAAAATGTGACCCGTGTAGTAGTACACAGTAAAAACAAAGGTAATACAAGCAAATGTTTTAAATATGGGCCAGTAACTAAACAAGCTTTGTTTCTGTCATGTGGATGTTAGAAAGCCTGTGGCCTACTTTTGAGCAAGCAGTGGCAATACTAGAAAATAAGGTGAAACTGGAGCACTTCTGCACGCCTTGTCAGAGCATTTGTCAGTGCTAACTTACAGAAGAAAGACGTTCAAGAAATGTGAGAGAATAATGAAGCAGCCCGTGCAAGAATCCTCTAATTATGTCCCATGGGAAACACATGTCTAAAACCACCAGAGGTCACCAGAGCAGTCTGTCTGAGTCCTGGCAGGTGCAGCAACATGTGACGGATGTGTTGCTGAGCTGCACTCACATACAGAGAGCTCTCTCTCTCAGGTGTGGGACTATTTTGTCTCCATACATATGCAGACACTGGGATCAACTACACACTTAAGATCCTTTCAAAATTTTAAACCACGTGTCAGTAAATGTTGGTTTGAATATAAATACATAAATGTCTTTCTAAGACCCAGAAACACACTAAAGATGTAACAATATGAACACATGAAAACTATTTGAACAATGTGCACAACCAAAACACACTTTGAAACCACAGTTTCAAAGGGGCAGGGTACGGAGCCCTCGCAATAAACCAGGGACTACTGTATTACAACCATCTGTTACCTTTTACATTTGTTTATCTTGTTGTATTGAATCGTAAATGTAATAAACAGAAGACAAAACCCAAACCCAAAGCCGCCAATAAATA